GTCGTTGAACGTCGTCGACTCTTTAAGGCACTTCCATCGCTCGGCCCGAGAGCATACATTTTAATTATCGTACAAGCAATAATGACGAATAAGAAAGTTATTATCATTGCGATAATAATATGGCCGTAAGTTTATTACGCGCAAAGTGCGATCGACTTTGATAGACGCTTTACTTTGCGCATATCGGACATTAGCGATGAATCGTACGAGAAATAATGTTTCTTTAGATAAGATCGATAGCGAAGTATTGCAAAACTGTCGATTATGCACTAACGATCGTATGGCGCGGCAAGAATGAAATTGAAAAAAAGCAATCGAAGGAAGCCAGATAGAGAGAGAGAGAGAGAGAGAGAGAGAGAGAGAGAGAGAGAGAGAGAGATTTACCAATCACTTGTTTACCTTTCTTTCATGTGCTTTGCTAAACGCGCATGTGCGAAGATAAGAGAAGAGGCAAGAAGTGCACGTTGCTGTATCGTCGTTCAATTCAAGAAGGCATACATACGTTCGTGCCGATGTTTTATGGCTTTGGAAATGCACGCCACTGCTAGAATTGAATTTATTTAATCTGACGATTGTACCTACTCTCACGATAAAGACGTGACTAATGTAAAAAAAAAAAAAAAAAAAAAAAAAAAAAAAAAAAAAAATTAATAATAATAATAATAATAATAATAATAACAGAGGGAAAATTACGTCCAACTGATTCTTGCTTAACGGACAATCCAATAATTTCACAGTAATAAAGAGATGATTGATTGTCTTAGGCCAATGATTGCTCATTACTGCAGTTGGTTTCTATAAATGAAAGTAGTCGTAAATCATTATCGGTGTAAGATTGTTGGCGGTATTGCGCACAACAAATTCAATTGAATTATGCGGATAGCGACAATTTCAAATTAGCTGACGAAATTTTTTACCATCGTTGAATATGGTCACAATGGGTTATAAATTCCCATCAACGTGCGAGACAAAAAGCAGATGCAAATATACATAACAACTATGGATAATCAAAATTCTTTGAAAAATATAGAGCAACACCAGTATTAGACGTAATCGATTCTTCGCTTTTCTCACGCTCTTTCAACATTCAACATTGATGAAAATAACACAACCCTATTCGCTTTCCTCCCTTCCCCTCCCCACACCCCCTCTCACAATATCACTATCTCGCTTGCCTTGAGTAATTTCTATATCTCGATATATCCCGAGCGATCCTAAAAATTAACATAAAAATGTGACGGGTCAGACGAGCATGGGAAATAGCGAACTCACGGGCTTCTCTTCACGGGGACCGAATGCATCCCACTGCTTCATGCAAATCTGCAGAAAGGAAGGTGTTTGCATAAAAAGGGCAGGTAAGTCGTGGTGGTGGTGGTGGTGGTGGTGGTGGTGGTGGTGGTGGTGGTGGTGGCGGGGCGGCGGCGGCGGTGGCGGCGAGAACGTAGTCAACCATAAACGGAAACGCTAGAAAATTCAAATGACAGAACAACATATGTTCTGCGAGTATAAAGCTTCTCCATAATCCCCCAAAGGTGGGAACCTATGGTAGAATCGATATAAGTAGCAATGCTCAGTGAATGACGCACACAAGCGTCTGGGAATTTATTCGAAACCGCGATACACCTGAATCCCAACGGTCGGAGCCAAGGAAGAACGGGCAATAGGTAAGGCGTAATATAGAAAGGAAAATAGGGAGAGCGAGGAAGGGAAAAGGCGACTTCTGCTAGACGAGTGCAATCGGGGAGTGCGGCAAACACGAGGCTTTCGATCCTGCGGTTTTTTGGATTTCCAGGCAAGGCATCTCGAATGACACGAACGCTTTCGCCAATAGGACGGCAACCATTAAACGATGGCAAAGCAGTGCGAGGATGAGGAAAACGAACCCACGGACTTCCTGGGGCAGGGGCTTTCGATGCCCATGATTATGACACATAGTTGTAGTAGTAAGAAGGATTCGCGTGCTGCGCCTTAAATAATAGACTCGCTTTTTTATCAGCAGCAATGTACACGGGACATGGCGCACACACGTCCGAACACGATTCGAGCCACCCATAGACCGACAGGGAAAGGGTTCGACGTGCACGTAGTCGCTTCGCGTATGCAGATGAGAAACCCCATAGCGGATGTAAGCAGGCTGCAGTTAGCAGCGCTGGGGAAACAATGGACCGCGCCATTATGTCCGTCGAATAATCCGAAAGCCCGTAGAGAGAGAGAGAGAGAGAGAGAGAGAGAGAGAGAGAGAGAGAGAGAGAGAGAGAGTCCTCTGCTGTCTCCCTCTCCGCGCCTAACTCCTCTCTATTATAGCGGTAAGAGCCACATTGTATATCCGGCCTATCGCGAGACGGTCAAGTCAGCGGGGCGGTGAGGAGGAAGCCCGGGAAGAAGAGCGGACGGGTTCCAGCGCGGAGGAAAAAAAATAGAGCGCAAACGAGAGAGGGATAGAGTAGCTTGACCATTGTCGGGACACCTAATTATTTGTTAATCTTCCGCGTGGAAGTCATGCCATCCTCTATCCCTGGTACTTCCATCTATCCCATTCTCTGTTTTTCTCTATCAATCTATCTCTCGCTCGGCCACTAGCAAGAGTGCACGCAGCTCGCTGAGAAAATATTAAGACGCCAAAGTCCGCGACCGGCCCTGCCCCATGCTCGTACAGTTCGTCCATGTGTACGGGAATGAGCTGTGCGCACACCAA